TATATATATATATATATATATATATATATATATATATTGTTTTTAACGTCGTAAATATCATAAAGCGTCTGTGTGAATATTTTATATAACAACTCTAGGTTAATTTGTGACTAGTTATCAATGCGAAAAACGTGTCTATGATTTTGACAATAAAATTGGATAATAAAAAACGACCTTTACTCTCCAGATAATAAAAAATTATTTCAGCCAACGTTTCGCCCTTGCGGCTTCATCAGGGCTTGTAGTACATATTCTTGTACTTCTAGTCCTGATGAAGCTACAAAGGCGAAACGTTAGCTGAAATAAATATTATCTAGAAAGTAAATGTCTTTTTTTCTCTCTCTAATTTCATTACCAAAAAGTCTCAATCCCTACAATCTCAATCCCTACTAATTCTTGAAAACGACGTGTCTGTGATATTGTTGTGTTAGGAGAAAGCTGTAACAGATTTTGTGATGGAGCTCTTAGACCAGTGCACTACGACCGGTATCTCACAGCAAGAAGGACTTCTGACCTTTGAACTCTCACAAAAGGACATTTACATGCTCGAACACAGTTGGAAAGATATAGTCGTCAGCATACAGGTGCGTGGAAAGATATCTGTTGATAATATTGTATTATCAATGTCAGTTTCTAGCGAAGGAATTAATAATGGTTGTAGGAACCATCACGTATTTGTTAACATTTTGTAAAATGTCAGCGTATGTGACTCTAAAATATTAGTTACATTTAAATCAACCAACGAAGTAACTATTGCAGCTATAGAAATAAAGCTACGGTCAATTCCTCAACACTGTGTTGATTGTTTTTGTTTATTTGTTTTTGAATTTCGCGCAAAGCTACACGAGGGCTATCTGCGCTAGCCGTCCCTAATTTAGCAGTGTAAGACTAGAGGGAAGGCAGCTAGTCATCACCACCCACCGCCAACTCTTGAGCTACACTTTATCAACAAATAGTGGGATTGACCGTCACATTAAAACGCCCCCACGGCTGAAAGGGTGAGCATGTTTGGTGCGACGAGGATTCGAGTCGAGCACCTTAACCACCTGGCCATGCCGGGCCCACTGTGCTGACAAAGTTCTAAAAATATTACAATTCTAACTTTATGATAACTGTTAGAGCTGTCACTGTAAGTCATCATTATTATAGCACCAAGCTTAAAGTTAAAGGTTAATTAGACTATTACTTAGTGAAAGGCATTGTTAAAGTATTATCAAAAATTTTAATTACGAAATCATATTTTAAAAAATGGTAAGATAAATATCATCCTTCTAACATCAGAAGAGTTCATTTTTACGAACAAAATTATCGTTTTTCCTAAAGTTTTATAACTCGATCACTGTTAAAGTTTAAAAACGAGGACACCTTTCCAGATACAGAATTAATTAAACCAACTTAATCACATGTTTCTAACACCTGGTGGCCCTGGCATGGCCAGGTGGTTAGGACGCTCGACTCGCAATCTGTGGGTCGCAAGTTAGAATCGATGTCCCACCATACATGCTCGCCCTTTCATTCGTGGGGGCATTATAATTTTACGGTCAATCCCAGTAGTCATTAGTATAAGAGTAGCCCAAGAGTTGGGGATGGGTGGTGATGACCAGCTGTCTTCCCTCTAGTCTTTCACTGCTAAATTAGGGATTGTTAGCGCAATTATCCACAGGTCCCTGCTACCCAAACCAGTAGGAGTATTCTCTTTCTCACTCCAGTGTCTTCTCAACCCCTAAGCGTATGGCTGCTGGAAGGTTGTGGAAATGATGAATTACTTTGAAATGTAAAGATTGGGGAAGTTCCAGATGTAGTTATTATTACTGTCCACTAGTATACTTCCATTTCTGACATTGTAAGCCTTCTTCTAAACATTATGTTGCGTCAGCGAGGTCATGTGACTAGTATCACTCCACCTGTTTCTAGAAATATCCTGTTCCTTCAAGAATGCCCTAGCATTTACCAGATATGTGTTAGTCTTGTATATATAAGACGTTCACAACGTGACGGGACAACAGAGGTAATGAGTAATTGAACTGCAGTCAGAGAGAATATTGTTAAGCACGTGAGAAGTTCGTTGAGAATTATAGTGTTTATTACAGAGCGATTGTTGAAATTAAGTGTATCATAAAGTTGTATTTGGAAAGAATAAACCAGTTTTATTTAAGAAAGGACTTGTGTCGCTAAAGTTTCGTCGGAACGAATTTACGGAAAATTAACTAACGAACAGAGATGTATCAATAAGGAATCCCACCATGCCCAATAGAACTTTGTTTATGAGCTGGAAGAAGCAATTATTTGCCATGAGGATCTTCCTGTACTATTCTTGAGTCACTGAATAATTGGTTTCAAACACTTATTCTAAGCCTGAAAAGCTTCCAGTTTGGTGTTGAACCACATATGTTCTTCATCTTCACTGTCAGATGTCGCATCTTAGAGTACATTCTACTGTACTTCAGGTTGATTGTTTTTCTGTCATCTGCTTCCCTCTTCTCACAGTATTTACACTCATCATCTACACATGGTTCTTTGGGATAATGCATTAGCATTTCTAGGATTCCATCCAGGATGATA